TCAAACAACCATTTCATTTTCTTTTTTCCCCTTCTATTCATTCTTTAGATCCATTATTGCTGGCCTATGTCATGGGAACTTTCTTGCATGCCCTTGTCTAATGTTGAAACTGCTTTACATTGAAATATATTTTCGAATAAGACATGCTAAGTGTTAAAAATTAAGTTATTGCTTCTTATATCTTGTACATAGAATAAAAGGTTCTATTTAGTTTTACTAGTTATATAATTTCCCTGTTTCCCTCAATGGTAGGTACATACACACATTTTTTTTCAAATTCTATAAAACTTATTGATGTATGTATGTGTCGTCATATAGTTCGAAGGAAACCATGTAAATTTCTTAATCCTGCTATCAACTTTATCGAATGCAAGCATCTTCTTTTTGTAACAAGAGGACAAAAAAGATGAAGGCCATAGAGTTGCTAACAAGTAGAATTCAATCTGAGCTTGAATTGAAGGGAATGATTGTTCGATTTATGTTTTTTGTACTTTGTCTAGCGAAAATTATAAATTAATGAAATAACCAATGACTGTCTTCTTCTAGATTTATAGTAACTTGTTAATTTCTTCAATAGAAACTACATGAACCGTGTAAATATACCACCATACCTATTATTATATTATATGTTTAGTTTTATGTCGAATATATGCCATTCCAGTTGCATTAATTATTTGTGGCGGCCAAACCCTCTATTTTCTATATTTAGGGACTTTGTACGTACTTCGTATCGTATCACATCCTGTTTCATTATGTCTCACATAGCTATATCCTTACGTGCAGTTTTTTATTTCTTACACTATCCAATTTTCTTTTGTTACTATGTTGAGCACGAAAGAGTGGGACATGGTTAACTCAAAAAACACAGATGGTATTGGATAGCTTAATATAAAATGGTGTTATGAATTATGCAAAATTTTCTTGTTCACTGTTGAGTTTGGTAGAACTAGTTTAATGGGGAAACTGGTTTTTTATTCAAAGTTTTACAAGTACAAAGTGCCAAGATAGTGATTATTTTAGTGCTTATCTCTGTTGCTTCAAGTTCATAATAGTAATTTTATGCGTTCAAAATGTGTACAAGTCTGATCAACGTTCAGGGAAAAAAAAAAGAGCACAACTTCTTTCTGATCTTTTGCGCTCTTTAGTGAGCTGATTCATTTTCGTCTTTCATGACAGTTGAGATATGCAGTGAGAACTAAAGTATTTAGACGTCATTACAGATAAGCTTATTGAGAGAATTTCACTATATTCTTCTTTACTTTGTGACGTTTTGTTTAACTTTGTGTCATTAGTACTTGTTATTACTTTACTTTTATATGGTATGATGCTAAAAATTTCCCCTTTGTTTTTTTGCTTATTTTAGAGCCACCATGGAAGAGGACATGTCGAGGACTGTTTCGAACGGAGGCGGCAATGCAACTCCGGAAGCCATTGACTCCAACAGCTGCGCACACTTGCTTCCTCCCCCGAACAAGCCTGCGAGGCGCGGCGGCTTTAGGACTTCCCCGCTGAAATTCAAAGGCCTTGTGCCTCAGCAGAATGGGCACTGGGGCGCCCAAATCTACGCCAACCACCAGCGGATTTGGCTCGGCACATTCAAGTCAGACAAGGAAGCAGCCATGTCGTATGACAGTGCAGCGATCAGGCTTCGGAGTGCCGACTCCCACCGGAACTTCCCCTGGACTAGTGCTACTCTAGAAGAGCCAAAGTTCCAAGAGGCATACACCACTGACGCTCTCCTTGGCATGATCAAGGACGGTTCATACCCTTCGAAATTCGTTGAATATCTCATGGCGCGCTATGAAAATTTGGGAAGAGACATTGGCCGTCTTGACTTGAGTATGGTCCAGACCAAAGGGCTAGTGTTTAAGCAACTCTTCCAAAAGGAGCTCACGCCGAGCGATGTAAGCAAGCTGAACAGGCTCGTCATTCCGAAGAAATACGCTGTCAAGTATTTCCCACGCATTGAGGAAGGTTCAGATAACGACGTGGAGTTGGAGTTTCATGACAGGACAATGAGATCGTGGAAGTTCCGGTACTGCTACTGGAGGAGCAGCCAGAGCTTCGTCTTCACAAGGGGCTGGAACCGATTCGTGAAGGAGAAACAGCTGAGGGAAAACGACACCATCACGTTCTACTTGTGCGAGTACTGTCAAGAAGGGGAGAGGGCGGTTCGCACGTTCACCGCCATCGATGTTTTCAAGGTTGAAAACATCAATGGTGGGTTGGTTGAGGAAAATAATGACAAGAAACAGAATCTTGGGTTGCATTTGGATTTGAATCTTGGGATGCATGATCATCACAAGGATGGAATAGAGGTTGAAGGAGAGAAAGAAGTAGCGGTGAAAGCAAAGCCAATTATTCCCAAGGCTGGGAATTCAGGTTTTTGGCTATTTGGTGTGCATATCATATGATCATAAAAGATGGAAGATATATATATATATATATATGTATGTATATATATATCTTGCCTTATATGTAGTTAAGGTTTATCGGCCAAGTTTAGTTAGACCCCTTTAAAAAGTTAAAAGTTTTAGCTTGAGCTTTTAGTAGGGGAGAGAATTTAGCTTCTATTATTTAGTGAGTAGTTGAGAATCCTCCGTAGGTTAATTTATCCAATGCTGGGATCTGATCTTATAATGAGATATAATTGTTTCCAATATTAGAGTAATATGCTATTTTGTGTCACCACTGGTTGATTATCACACCACATTTTTAATTAATTTCAGTTTATTATCGATTTCGAAATTCGCATATACAAATGTTGTGTCAATCTTTAATTAGTTAAGCAATTAGTGCAATTTTTGTGAGGGCACAACTTTAATTGAGAGCATAAAATTGTGGGTTGCGAATTGCAATACTATATAGATACATATATACAGACTTAAACTTTTTCTGTTACGCTATTGTGCTTTTGTTATAAACAAAATTACATTATATCCCTCCCAAATTATGCATTGTCAGTTCTTAGTATATTTCTCACTTTAAAAAACATTTTTTTCATATTTTTTTTTTTCCTGATAGATTTAATGAAAGAAAAGGACCTAAAAAGGATTGCCTGCAATTGTGGGGTTGAGAAGGTTAAACCAACTGCAAAAGCAGAAGAAAACGAAGGTTGTGGCACATACCAGGAAAATATTGGCATTGGGAAGAGTCAACAGTGTTTGGTGGAATTTCTTTCAAAATATTTCTTGGAATATTGAAAAAAATCTCCAAAATAAGTTCATACGTGTCCAATTTTGTCCAAAATTTGGCTTCTCACAATCTAGTCTAGAGGGTAAAAATAACACACTTCAAAGTGAGGGTGAAATTGAAATTCACCTTGATGGCTTCCTCTATAAACAGTCTCAATGAATAATATGGTTAAATCTATTATTTGTTTTATTTTTTGGGTACTAATTTAAACCAAGAACTTTTAACTTTTGACCCCTCCCTTATTTTCTAGTTATGTTCGAAGGTTTTCACTTTTCATAAATTATCAAAAACTAACCGACTGATCTATCATCAGTTTTTAATAGGCAATCATTCTAAAAGTCGGAGCACTTTTTTTGAGCGCAATGTAATTGGATTTGAGAGTGTACTACTTTATACATGTGTTTTGATGAAATAAGCGCCTGTGAAATATGTGAATTAAATTTGGAAAGCATCAAAAAAGTTGAAGTTAACAGTTTATAAAAAAGGTGATTCTATTCACACATTTTTTTTTTAATTTTTTAATTTTTTTTATAATTTTCTTCTTTTTTTTTTTTTTAAATACACACCTCATATAGTTTAAAATAATTGAATTGTTTTTTACACATCCCTATTATTCTAAAAACACCTCTTATTATTTTCAACAAATTATTAATACTCAATTTTATGTTTCTTTACACACCTACCATTTTATTTTAATTCATTAGATTATCATCTCATTTTAAAGCAAGGCTACTTTTTGACCCTCGTTGCGAGGTTATCTTTTGTATAACATGTAGACATCCAACTCATGCAATCTTTTGATTTGCGAAAATGTTCAATATTGTGATTACGTTTTACTTCTCATAAATCATAGGTTACCATAATGCTTGTGCTTCATGTAGCAGCTATCAAAGTCGAGCAATGTTTTCATCAGAAAAAAAGAAAAGAAAAAAAAAACATGTGCAATATTCATATATCTAATTTAATCTAATCTAATATAACAATACATAAAAGAGCCAAAAAAATTTATATGGGGCTGCTATGTGGCAGCCCTCCACTTGTTTTTTTTTTTTTCTTTTTTTATCTTTATTTTCTTGTAAATTTTATTTTACATTTTAAATTTTTGTGTGTTTTTAAAATATGTTATTCCTCACTTTACTCTTATAAGAGTAATTATTCTTATTTTATTTTTAGTTAATTAAAATAATTTTCTTCAAATGTACCTGTACTTAATTTTTTTGTCAATTATTATCTTTACACATTTCTTTTCAAAATAAATTTAAAAATCCTTAAATGGTTTTATAAACGAATTTTTTATTATTCGATAAATAATAAATTCTTCATTGTTTTTAACACAACAATATGTATAAAGCACATTATAAAACTAGTAACTACATAAAAGTGTTATCACATATTTATGCTCGCTCCTCCACGTGTATGACTCGTTTCATTCCCGTTTCTTTGTTTGTCTAGTTCTTTCTCCTTTTTTTTGCTTTTATTTCTTTTATTTATCTTAGACCATACATATAAATATTACATAACATATATAAGGGATGCAAAACATTAGTTGTGGAAAGAATTAGAGATGAAATAAACGTTGGTGTGAGATAATTATTTATAAGAGCCAAAAATAAATTCTATTAGGGTGAACTATGTTAAAATAATATCAAAGTAGAGAAACAATTGAGAAAGAGAAAGACGTGTAAGTAAAGGCACATTTGAAAATAATTATTTTAATAGGATAATTGAAAGAATATTTAAAAATATCAAATTTAGGCATCAATATGCTTCTGCCTAGCCCGTAACAGTACCGTTTGAATTATGTACTCGTTTACCTTTTAACTAGCAATGTGAGCGCGCATTGCACTAAAAAGTAATTTTATGCTCTAGAAAAAGTAGATAATCTTTATACAACAGAAGTAAATTATAAATATACATGAATATATATAAGATATTGTTATATGAAGTTATTTACAATATATATAAGATAATGTCATATGAAGTTATTTACAACATATATAACTCCTTGTTCATCTTTGTTGCTGTGGCCCCTTTGTTTTTTTCAACTGTAACCTATAAATTTTAAAAAATGTTAGTATAATAATTGAGAAAATTGGAAATAATATGATTTAGAAGTAGTTACGTTACCTAAATTTAGGGAAAATATATATATAAGATGTAGAAAACAACTAAGGGCATTAATAACTGAAATACAAATAAAACACAAAACAAAAGAGATATAGGCCTACTACCCTTGATAAAAATGAAATATAATTTTTTTCATAATTTCATATCGACAATATTTATTACTAAGGACAGAAAGAAAATGTTTAACACTAACCATAGCAATAGAATCAAGGCAGTAGCAGCAACAAAAATTAAAGAATTGTAGGTAAAAATCATTAATAATACCTCCAATGCTATAAATCTTGCTTGAGGAACCAACTATGAACAGCCCACACACGAACAAGAGTAAATGATGCAGGAAAATCTAGAAAAATGCAAATAATCCAGTAAGTAAATCAGTAAATAAATAAGTAAAAAACAGATCAAAAAGCTGATACATGTAGATATAACAATGTTTTTATACAATAATCGTGCCTCAGATATAAGCTATTCTAAGCAATGTGAGATAGAAATTTGTGGCTGCCTACTAAAGCAATTGCACAAAGAAAAGCACATTATATCTATCACATACATTATACATTATATGTGACAGAGACTGATTAAGTAGAGCAATATATAAAATTATCCAAAACTACGAGACGAATTAAGAGGAAGAGGAAAAAAACGCAATATTAAAGAAACAGTAAACTGCATGATGGGAAAAATAGAACAAATAGATGATAGAAATAGATTAAACAACAGTAGAATGCACTCTATGGACAATGCTTGGCAGAAAGGAATCAAAAAAAGTGTGAGAAAGAAAAAATGAAGAGGCAAAAGACTTTTGGGCTTTGCTACGAAACAATAAGGGAAACAAAAAGTGACAAGATTGAAAACAAAGGAAATATAATGTCCCAATGATGGAAAAATAACGAACAGTCCTCAAGAAAGGAGGGAAAAACTATAAAATCAAGACATGATTTCCAAAACAAAGTGAACACTTGGGGCATGAAAAGACCAAAAACAGAAACAATAATACTAAGAAAACAATAAAGCCTACAACAAAAGATTGTAAAAGAAATGGACAATAAAAATAAAGTGATGAAGAACAAAAGGAATTATGAAAAGAACAAAAGAATAAATACGAATAAGGTAAAAAACCTGGAGTAAGCAAAAATAATAGAGAAAAAAGTACCTAACTGTTTTTATTGAAAAAACAGTGGATAAAATCAGAATCCAAATAAGAAAAATGTATTCACAGCAATCTTTGGACAAATTATATGAAGCTCAATACATCAAAATCAATCATGACCATCACTGGCACGTAGAAAAACTTACAAGAACTAAGATAAAATAATTGTGGCTCAGAGAGATAAAGAAAGGAAAGAAAATAATACAACAAATGGATAATAGACAATAGCATTACACTATATAGACAATGGTTGGCACAGAGAGGTAAAGAAAGGAAAGAAAATAATACAACAAATGTATAATAGACAATAGCATACACTATATAGACAATGGTTGGCACAGAGAGGTAAAGAAAGGAAAGAAAAAGAAAAAAAGAAAGAGGCAAAAGATTTTAGGACTTTGTTGAGAAATAGTAAAGGAAAGAAAGAATGAGACGATTGAAAAACAAAGGAAATTTAATGTCCCAATGACGGAAAAATGACCAGCAACCTTCAAGAGAAGGACAAATGAAATAATAAAACAGAAACGGGAAAACTATAAAATCAAGACATAATTCCCAATGGAAAGTGAACACTTGGGGCACGAAAAGACCAAATACAGAAATAACAATACTAAAACAACAATAAAGTCCATTACGAAAGAAAGTAAAAGGAGTGGACAATAAAAATAAAATGAGGAAGAAGAAATCGGACAATCAAAAGAGCAAAAGAGTAAATAATAAGGTAAAAAAGAATGAATACAAATAAGGTAAAGAACAAATGGAAAAAACCTAGAATAAATACACATAAGAACAAAACAAATAAGAAAAATATATTCACGGCAATTTTTGGACAAATTATATAAAGCTCAATACATCAAAATCAATCATGACCATCATTGCCACATAGAAAAACTTACCAAAACTAACTTAGGTAGAAATATATATATATATATGTATGTATATATGCATGGCTCAGAAATAAATAAATAGGAGGTCAATGCATGATCATTATTGACTGAACAAATAAAATGAGAGATAAAGACAAATAACAAAACATAAGGAACAAACATTAATATCGCTACAACGAACCAATACATCCAATATGGGCAGTAAAAATTAAAGAGCTATGAATAGGGAATATTAACAATATCTGGGTCGCTATAAATATTGCCTTATATTTGAGATATCAACCAACCAAACGTGTACAGAAGCAGTGAAAGACAGAAGAATAAATTGATGGAGCAGTAAATGATGGAGAGTGAGATAGAGCAGTAAATGACTGAGAGTGAGATAAAAGAGCAAAAACGTGGAATGCAAGGGAAAGGAACAGAGAACATGAAAAGAGATGGTAGAGATATCGGTACCTTCTAAAGTAAAATAGCATGAGAAAGTGAAATTCCCTGCATTAGGTAGGAAAGCCAATTAGGAATTAGGGTTAGGGATTTCCATTCAAACCTGAAATTGCTTCAAAAAACTTTCTAAATTTTGACTAAATTTAACTCACATAATGTCTAAGAACATCTAAAATCTTGAATTGTCCAATGAATTCAATATCAAAAAATGATTTTTTTTTCAATGAGAAAGAATTTGGAATAAGGAAAAAAGGGGAAAACCTTTAACTGACGAATCATTAAAATTGGAGTGTCTTCGATATTTGATAGAGGGACCAACGAAGGAGTGAGTAGTCACAGGTAAAACAACATCCAACATAAGTAGTCAAAGGTACAGAGATAAAAGAACAAAGCAATAAATATAGGCAATGAAATGAGGCAGTAAGTGATGAAAGATAAAACAGGGCAGCGAAAGCAATAGATGCAAGGAAGAGAGGTAGCAACACATATCACAAATCTATACAGAATAGTAATAGTCATAAATAAGGGTAAAAAGATAAGGATGAACACTAAATAGCCTCTACATAGTCGGTTAACAGAGATAAAAGGACCAAAATTTCCTAATTATATCATAAAATAAATACAATTACAGACATATAATAATTATATACTAATGGTGCTATAGATAGGAAAATCTAAAGAAACTTTTTTTCGAAAATTTATCGAAAATTCCAGATAATATAAACTAAAGATGTCGAAAATTTCAGATAATAGAAAGAGAGAAAAATCAACAGTTCATTTAATATATCTATAACAAAAGCAGAACAAATCATCAACCTAGGAAATTAGATGACCAATAGAAACAACCCAACTCATGGAGGCAATAAATGAAACAGAAAAAACCAAGAATCACCAATATACGACATTAAACGAACCAACAGAAAATCCACTCATACAAATAAAATCCCTGCACAAACAAATTCATCAAAGAAAAAGGTCAAGTATCCGGAAAAAAATTTCAATAAAATGACATCCATTACTCAAAAAAAATCAAAAACCAGAACAAAAAAGCGTAAATAAAACAAACGAAAAAGCAAGGGAAAAAAATCAGAGACGCGCGGACGAAGAATAGAGTAAAAATCAAACATAAAACCCAAATCAAAACAGGAAAATAGCCCCAAAAAATCCTCAAATCTGCCCCCCAACCGCACCAAAGGAACGGAAATATTGAAGGCACAGAAAGAGAAGAAGCAGATCAGCAACTAAGCAGGAAGGGGAAAAAACACCAAAGCGGCGAAGAAGGCAGTTTCTGAGAAAGAAAGCAACAAATGGGAAACAAAGAGGGAAGAAAAATTAGGGTTGCAAAGTTACCAAAACCAAGAAAGAGAGCAAATGAAGGGGGCGGAGAAAATGAGGGAATCGAGGAGGAAAGAAAATTTAGGGCTCCACTGGCTGCAAAATTACCAAAAAAATAAAACCCAAAACGCCACTGAAAGAGAAAGAGCGGGGGCAAAATGGGAAAAGCAACCGATCAGAGACACGCTAAAAGACCAAACCGCCCCTGCACCAGACAAAAAAGAGAACTGTAAATGAAGGACAAATTCGTCACTCCACTGTATAACAAACACTAAAATGGGCCTGCGTGAACAGTACCCCCGAGCTCTCCTTGGATATTTGATCAGAGGATTTAAACCATAATTTGAATCATTATTCATTATTCGTTATAGTGTTATTTCTCATAAAAAATACACGTAAATCAAAAATGGTTCTAATCATATGATTCTAATCCATGAACCAAACGTCTAGATATTTATAATTTGCATCTTTGGTCTTTTATTTCTATTTATCTTTTTATTTTTCATATGTACACCATACTTAGGGCTTGTTCTTTTAGAGTTTAACTTGAGTATAATTCTTGAGTTGAATTTGAGTTATAACTTGAGTTTATGTTTGGTTGTATACATTTGAGTTATGGTTTGAGATAAGAATCTTTTTAAGTTTGTGTTTGAGTGAGTCAAAACTTGAATTTGTATTTAGATAGTATTTTAATAAAAACTCAATGCTGATGAAAAATTTTAATAGAGTATATGGGTCGGGTTTTATTCGTCTTTTCGTTGTCAACGCATAGAAAAAAAATCATCTCAATTAAAATTAAAACGAAAAAGTTATAGCATTTTTAAGAATAGAAAAATATTGTTCATTAATTTGAGTTCGAGTTTCTGAACTCGAGTTGAAGGAGAAACTTGAACTCGAGTTTTAGTCCTAAACTCGAGTTTGAACTCGAGTTTAAACTTAAAAGAACATGAACTCGAATAAAGTTGTAATTCAAGTTGCTTTTTTTTGAGTTTTTCACTCAAAAGAACAAGCCCTTAGTTTTCTATTTAATTTGTCCAGATCAAAATGTTTCTTTTAGCATGTTCGTTTTTATTTATGAAAATATAATATTCAGCAGAAATATATGTTGTGATTGAAACACATATATTAATACATCTATTTTCTAAAATCTAATTTTTAAAGGATTAATTATCAAAATTACTCCTGAACTATACTCATTGTAATACTTTACCCCATAATTTTTGAAACGTAACATTTGTTCCCCTTAAACAATGCAATGTTAACAAAAAAGCCCCCTCCCTTAGTTTTTTTAAACAGAAATTGACATTTAATATATTATTTTTGGGTATTTTAATAGCTTTATGATTTAAAATTTATTTTGAATTTAAGACTAATTTATATTTGAACTTTTAATTATGATATATCTATTATTGATTGAATGTAAGTTAAAAATTTTATGAATCCTTTTTGGTAGAATAAAAAAATTTATGAAATTTTTTTAACTTCTAAAATCGTTTAAATTTAAATTAAATTTTAAACCATAAAATTATCGAAATATCATCAAATAGTAAATTAAATGTCAATTTCAGTTAAAAACCTAACGAATAAGGCTTTTTTTATTAATATTTCATTATTCAGGGGAAATGATGTTACGTTTTAATGATCAGGAGGTAAAATGTTACATTTCATTGTAATTAATCCATTTTTAAATGTGCCTCATCAAAATTTATATTTATATTTAATTGTTTTTTAATCTCTTCTACTAATATGTGTTTAAAATCAAAATAAACTTTCTAGTAGACTACTCTGGTGAAACACACGGTAATATGTACGGAGCACGATTTTAAAACTAGTGTAAGAAAAAAAATGAAGCAATGTAAAAGTAATAACAAATTATGTATCACAAATAATAAAATAACTTTTGAAAAAGTAAAAGAGTAATTTGCACTTGATCCCTTAATTCTTTATTAGGTGACACTTTAGTCCATTTTTGTTTTTGTTTTTTATTGTATTTTGATAAAGCAAACCCTCAACTCTCAATTAGCAATTAAGTCTTTTTTTTACATTCCTTTAAATTTTTAACAGATTTTATCATGTGCTAGGCATGAGATCTAATATGTAAGGATATTTTGGTAAATTAACATATATTTTAAACTTAACAAAAATTAAAATTTTAAAAAAGATTAATTTCAAAAATTTCCCCCGAATTATGACCCTTGTAACACTAAAACCCCCAAATTTTAAAAAGTAACATCGCTTCTCCCTAAACTTTATTCCGTTAACAAGTTTTATTCTTATGTTACAATGAGTGACGAAAATCACCACATGTGATGTACATAACCCACCTGAGGAGGGTATTATCATAAATTAACCGGCAACAACCCTAGATTATTAAAAAATGATTAAAAAAAACTCAAATGCATTTAAAAATAAAACCCATTTGTTTGATTTTTTTGTTGATGTGTTAGGGTTAGAACTTTTCTCCAAAAAAGAAAAATCTGAGGAAAAATCAATCTTCATTGTAAATTTCCGTGGGGAATCACTCCCAATGGCTGCAACATGGAAAAATATTGGGGAAATGGGGTTGAGAGGAGAAGAAGAAAATGGTGATGATGATAATGATTTAGGGAGAATAGGCAAGTGGATTTTGACCTTGATGATGAGATTGTGAAGAAGGGACTCTGGACCAAAGGCCAAGCGGATCATCTCCTTCTCACCATAGTCTTGTATCATAAGGTATCCCATAATTTTTGTGGCGTTTGCGAGTTCTAGACTCTGGATTCTTGAGAATACTGTGTTGGTAACTGAATCGAATTCGGATGCGGAAGCGTGAGGGGAGGCGGATCGTGTATATCAAATTTTTTTATAAAACCTTTGAGATACTCTATAGATTATATTAATTTATGCATGAATAAATTAATCTCATTAATTCATCTATTATGAACTCAATTAGGAAAAATACCTGGAGGCCGACTCGGTTGATAACTCGAGTTCTTTGACCTCGAACAATCCTTGCTCCAAAGCTTTGTGTTTAGAAAATCAATGTCTTCCACGTCAATTCTTAGAATCCACGAAGACGTGTGTGTGGGCACACATGCGACAAAACGGGTTATAATAAACACTCAAATTTTCACAAACACCAACGCATGCACGATGTGGAATTTTTTGGAGAAAAATTTTTCCTTTTTCCTCTCTAAGAGAATTTCGGCCATAACTAGAATTAGGGCAAAATTTGTTTCAAAAATTGTCTCAAAAAAATTGTGTTCACAATTTTCTACTATTCTCTTATTTATAGAGTAGAAGTCAAACTTCTAGAACGAATCCAATCTCTATCTCCAAGATAAAACTTGTCAATTATCTCCTATTTGAATTTGGAACAAAATCTCCTCTTTTCCTCTATCCATTATGGCCGGCCAAGATAGGGGATTCTCATCCCTGTGTAGGCGCCAATATCAGATAGGGAATGGAGAGAAAATCATCCTTTATCCTGTAGTCCAATTTTGACTCAAATTCAAATTCCAATTTAAGTCAAACTTAAATTAATTTGAATTCTAAATTGAACAACTTATCAAATAAGTTTAAATGGATAAATCTAGACGTGTTCAAATTCAAATTTAAGTAATCACATTATTTATATAATAATTAATTCTCAATTAATTATTTTTTGAGTGTTTAATTTTAGAATTCCGTAATTCTAAAATTCCTATTTTGCCCTTTGTGTCTGGTAGAATTACTAGGACGACGCGGGAACTAATGGATCTATAATCCTGAGCTCCAATAAAATTAATAATTAATTAAACACTTTAATTAATTAATTAATTCTATTAATTCCAATAGTTACTCCACTATAAACTTGGAATTGCACTCTCAAAATTATAGACATAAATTACTTCTAAACTGTGAAGTGTCCATTTGATATAGTCACTGCATATAGATCGATCCTCCATAAATAATTCGTAATTAGAGACAGGTAAAATCCGTTAACCTCTCTAATTATATCTTTATCTTTGAATACCATTGATTCTCTAATGGACAGTGATTCATAAAACACATTCATGAATTGGAGCTCCTACTGGTCCAAGTATCGAATCAACCCTCAAGAGAATTATTTATCTACTTCTTTCTCAAGAAGGAATGGATTCCATCTCGTATAATAACATTCCCAGCTACTTACTTTATCATGTCTCCAAAATACAAGGAATAGGATTCAGGATCTCAGAATCCGTACCGAGTAAATCAAAAGACATAAATCCATAAATAGGAGTCAGTTAAGAACTCAGGATTAAGATAATTCTATATATGACCATCGGT